TATTCCCCTGAGGGAAGAGCCACCTAGACACATTTTTGGCTTATGTCAAATAGTCAAGCTACCATGCTTTTAAAAATAAGGGCCTAGTCTTTAAGTGTTGCTTCAAAGATGGAAGCCTGTCTCATAGCCGGGATTAATTTTTTTTTTTTTTTTTTTGAGGCTGAGACAGGGGGTCTCTCATGTTACCCAGGCTGGAGTGCAATGGCACGATCTCGGCTCACTGCAACCTCCGGCTCGTGGGTTCAGGCAATTCTCCTGCCTCAGCCTCCTGAGTAGCTGGGATTACAGGCACGCACCACCATGCCCAGCTAATTTTTTGTATTTTTGGTAGAGACGGGGTTTCACCATGTTGACCAGGATGGTCTCGATTTCTTGACCTCGTGATCCACCCGCCTCGGCCTCCCAAAGTGCTGGGATTACAGGCTTGAGCCACCGCGCCCGGCCAGCCGGGATTAATTTTTAAAGTGCTTGGAAAGATTCTGCTAGAAATACTGATTCATTTGCCCCTCCTCCTAACACACTCAATCACCACTGTTTTCTCAGTTATCACTTAACTTCCCTCCAGAGTGTTTCTACACAGTTTTTTGTTTTGTATTTAAATACTTGTCATCCTGGCTCTTTAATGTTGAGCCTGTATTTATTGGGAGAACCCATCGTAATCTTTGGATTTTTAACACGAGGTCTTATTTAATATGTTTATAAGGATATAGTACTGTTGAAATCGGATTTAATCACTATTACAGCAATTAATGCTGCTTAGGTGTTGTGTACTTACTGATTTAAGTTCCCCCTCTGATGGTTTGTGTATATCTAATGCTACATTCATCTTCCTCTTACTATGTAATTTTATTTCCCTCAACCAGGGTGCAGTAGTTTGTTATCTGGCTACCTCCAGATGCCTGAATTAATATGGTTAGGTATCAATAGTGAGTTTTGTGCACCCAGAGAGTGCTTTGCACAAAAGGGGACAACAGACAAAAGTAGGAAGTACAGTCCTTGGTCTGAATAGGTTTAAAATGATTTGGGGGTACAGGCAGACAGATTTTTAGTTCTGGAAGAGTAGAGTCAAGTGCTAACATATATTTCAGAGTTGAAAACATTTAGAAAAATGAGTGGGAGGCTTGTGTTGGAAATCTCTATTTAGTGGTAAGGGAGGGGATTAACATTTCCTGCCCCAAACTCCTGGAAACCTGGAGGGTCACATACATTTTAGAGCATTCTGGCATAACAGCAGTTGGTGGACCAAATGCCCTAAATGATCAGACTGAGCAGATTCACAGCATACTGAACTTAAAGTTTCTCCCCCTTTCCCCTTTAAGAGTCCTTTATTCATTGGGGTTCAGAGGTTACTGCTTACCCTTGAGGTTTCTCAAAATTGCCTTCCTGTGGTTTGGGAAGTAAGAAGTGGGTGAAAACACACTGGCTGAAACCTTCTGGATTTCTCACATTGTTAGAAGAGTACCCTTTCTCGTTATGAAGGAATAAGAAACTTTTTGTTGGGTAAATTCCAGGCCAAAAAAAAAAAAAAAAGTTCTTGGATTTTATTTTTCTATCAGCCTGTGGAGGAGTAGGGATGATATTTAGTTCTTCCATTGAGAAGCTACTTCTACCTTCAAAGGAAGGTGAAGATACTATAGTTGGCTTGACTTTTATAACACTAGTGAGCTGGAAGAGACCTAATGCTTTCATTTTATTATTGAGAGAAACTGGGACCCAGAGAAGTTAAGTAACTTGTTAGTGTTATACAGCTAATTATTTTCTGTGGCTCCCTCAAAATTTAGTATGCTGATCACTATCCCAGTTTTTTCCTCAACTCTTTTGAGATGCTTATCTTACTAGGAAAGGAAGTTTGCATTCTACCTCTGGAATGCTAGCTAATATTCTTTCCACTACCTTATTTCCTTTCTAGGTGCTGAACTGTCCCCTTTTAGGAGAGTTGTGCTCTGCCGAATGAGCAGAAACTTAAAGATCTCTTTTACCCTTTCTCTTTGCCTTTCTTTTCCTGCACAGCCGTCTCATCAGCCGTGGAGAAGTATGCTGTTAACCATAACAAGGGCAACAGAGGGGAACTAACTGTGATGGTCTGAAATTTTGTCCGTGCTGTAGCTCTTCCTTTCTGCCTCTTGGATAGTTGCTGTGATTGGTTTACTGGGGCAGAATTTCATAAAGGATGGGTTTGGAAAGAAGAAGAAGGCAGGGAAAAGGTAAAATAATCCGCTTGGAGTGAACTCTACCTATAAGAATATAGCGAAGGGAGCTGCTTTTTTAATCTGGTTCCCTTGGGAGGAGTAAGTAGAGTTCTGGGAAGGAAGGCCAGTATCTGACCATGTCATAAAATTTCTAACTCTGTATTCTTGGGCTGAGTTTACTCAATAACTTCTGAACCAACAAATGTCATTTATTTAACACTCTAACTTCAGTTACTAGCCAGAGGACTTCATTATTATATATGAGAAATGCTTGAAAAACGTAGTTAAGGGTGTTCAAACACTTTGCCTTGTGTTTGAGGAAGATGGCATTTACTTAGAGTAACACAACATATGTTGACATTTTGTAGGAGATTCAACTTTAATCTCAGATTCATCAGCTGCCAATACATATGTAGAAGAAAGTGTACCTCAGTTTTGATGTTGGGTGCATTTTGCTGGCAAGGGACTGAATTCTAAGCCTGAGGAAGGCAGTAGTCCTCATCCTCAAGGCAGTGCACCGTGTGGAGGGAGTGCCTCTGCCTGACCTAAGCCAGCTACAGCCTGACAAGGAAAGCGGGCACAGGTGGATAGTGCAGCATGCATGACAGACCTGTGCACAGCTCCCTGTAGCTCTCCGGAGGCCTGCTCTCTGGAACAGTAAGAAGGAAAAGTGACTAGCCTGTAAATTGGCACTAAGGCTATTCTGCAGAAACCTTTTGAGGATAGTAGTCTTAAAGACAGTTTTGTAAGAGGCATCTTGCAGCCGGGTGTGATGGCACATACCTATAATCCCAGCACTTTGGGAGGCAGACACGGGTGGATCATGAGGTCAAGAGACCGAGACCATCCTGGCCAACCAAGAGATTGGATTGAGACCATCCTGGCCAACATGGTGAAATCCCGTCTTTACTAAAAATGCAAAAATTAGCTGGGTGTGGTGACATTCCTCTGTAATCCCAGCTACTCAGGAGACAGACAGGAGAATCACCTGAACCTGGGAGCCAGAGGTTACAGTGAGCTGAGATGGCGCCACTGCTCTCAAACCTGGCGACAGAGCGAGACTCCATCTCAGAAAAAAAAAGCTGGGGGGATCTTGCGTGGTTTGGAGACTCTGTAGGTTGATCGTATGTTGTGTATGACAATTTACAGATCAGACGGGGTAAAGTTAGCATGGAGAAAGTTAGTTAATCTGGTTATAGAGGAAGAGAGCCTAAGCAGGACAGTTGATTGGTGAATGGCAGAAAAACTTTAAATTAGTGTTTAAGATTTTTTTTTTGAGACAGAGTCTTGCTCTGCTGTCCACACTGGAGTACAGTGGCATGATCTTGGCTCACTGTAACCTCCACCTCCCAGGTTCAAGCAGTTCTTCTGCCTCAGCCTCCCAAGTAGCTGGGATTACAGGCGCCTGCCACCGTGCCCAGCTGATTTTTGTATTTTCAGTTGAGACGGGTTTCACCATGTTGGTCAGGCTGGTCTTGAACTCCTGACCACGAATGATCTGTCCACCTGAGCCTCCCAAAGTGGTGGGATTGAGCCACCATGCCTGGCTCTGTTTGTTTTGTTAATGTAAAAATCGTCTCTGTTGGTTTCTTAGCACTTCAGGGATTTGATGGTTGTACACACTGAATGTGGTTTGGCTACCACCAGTGTCCTGGGAGGACAGAGTTAGGCAGCTTTTAGTTTCCTCTGGGTTATTTGCCATAGAGTTTTTCAGGAGTCTGTCTCCTCATCCACAGTCTCCAAGAAGAACAGATGTTTAAAACGGAAGTTCTTTCATGAATGTTCTCTAATTCAGTCAATAAAACATGACCTTACCTTCCTAAGTTGAAATAATAAGAAACAGAGAAAAACACTTTTTTTGTTAACTCTCTTCTGTTTTTTCCTTTTTTTCCCCTTTTTATGGAGGTGAGAGAGAGAGAGAGAGAGAGACACCACTTAGACTTCTTTTCTGAGTGCATTAGAAACACTTGCTGCTTATTTATCTTGTATCTGTTTAAAGGAGAATACATGAGACATAGCTGGAGAATTGTCAACAATTCCTAATAGAAAATTGAGGTTACATGCCAAATGCTTTATTTCTTTTTTTAATTCAATGTCTAGGCTTGAAGGATACCTTCTCCCTCATGGTCCCTGCTGCCTTTGAAGTGTTAGTCTGTATGTATATATTTATAAGAGTTTTGCAAGCATCTTCTTTCTTAGTTCCTTATAATGGTTTTTAAATATACTATCTCTTGATTTTTTTTTGAATATATTTTTATTGTGGTAAAACATATATAACAAAAATTTCCATTTTAGTCATTTTTAATTGTACAGTTCAGTGGTATATTAAATATATTCGCCTTGGTTTACAACCGTCACCACCATCCCCATCTTCAGAACTTTTTCCATCTCCTTAACTGAAACCTGATATCAATTAAACAATAACTTCCCATTAAGTACTACACTGCAGCCCCCGGCAACTAACCATCCTACTTTGTGTCTTCATGAATTTGACGACTCAGAACCTCAGATAAGTGGAACCGTGTAGTAATTGTCATTTTGTAAGCGAACATTTATCAGTGTTTATGCTTTTTTTCTCACACCATTTTGCTTTTTAAATTTGTTTTTTATACCTGTGAAAGCAACAAAGTTTTAAAAGTCGTATAGTATTATTGGCCATACAACAAAAAGCAACATTCCCATGCCCATTCCCTCATCTCTATTTCCACTCCCAGAGAAACCATTTTAAACCTTTTAGCTAATGTGCACTGAAGCTTTGATCTCCTGGGCTTAACCTCCTGGGATCACAGGAGTACCACCAAGCATGGCTAATTTTTTTTTTTCCAAGCCAAACTGTATCCAGCTTTATTAAAGATACTTTCCATAAACAATCATGGTATTTCAGGCAGGACATGGGCAGACAATCATTAACAGTATACAACAACTTTCAAACTCCCTTCTTTGATGGACTACCAAAAATCAGAGAGCCACTATAAAACCCAATGAAGTCTTCATTTGATGCTCTGAACAGGGTAAGTTTAGAGTGAGGGTTGACATTTCACATTTAGCATGTTTAACAGCTTTTCACGAGCCAACTCTTGACTTTCAGGAAGTGAAATGAAAATGGCAGAATTTATCTGAAGGTCCACAATCTAGAAATGGAATCACTGCTCTTTTGACAGGTGTCATCTCAGTGGCATCACTGGCAAGTCCAGATTGCCTGACACACTGGTAACCAATGACTGGGGGTCAGGTCCCAACAGATGTTTGGGCTTAAGGGAGTTAAGTCTATGCTGAAAGACGGAAAGGGAGAAGAGGACAGAAAAACAAATTTGTTTTTCCATACCACAAGGCTTTTGTGTACCAAGGTGGCCATGTGTGTCAAAGTCAGGGAATCCCTCCTCCTGGGAGCCAAGAGGAAGTCTCTCAAAACTAGAAGGGAAAGGTATTTCCCCACATCAATCCAGCTTTGGAGGTATTCTATTAGTGACATATGCCCCTTCCCCCAAAACAACAATGAAGTGTTCTGTGTGCTAACAACATAGCTTAAAAAAAAGTAAAACAAAATTCTGCATTTTTATAAAACTGGATAAAAAATAACATTTCAAACTGTATAGTCACCAGAAGTACACAGTTATCAAAAATGCACACACTTCACTTGGCATCTCCAGCACCTTCGGCTTTCTGTGCCTGGTCTGTTTTGGCGTCTCCATTTTCTGCAGGGTTATTCCCTTTCTTGCCAGCATCAGCTTTTCCCTTTTTCCCTTTGGGTACCTTTTCTCCCTTCTTTGCAGGGGCCTTTTTAGGCTTGGGCTCTGGCTTTGGAGGAGCAGGTTTAGCAGGTAACCTTGCGGATCTTCTCTGTGATTCGTCCTTCACCTTGGCTTTATCTCCTTTAGCATCCCCTTCAGCCTTTCTCTTGGGCATGGTGGTGATGGCGGCGGGATGTAGGCGCTGGGCGTGGGATGCAGTGGCGCATGGGCTTTGGTTGGTCAGGGGGTCGTTCTTGCCTCTTCTTTTTCATACTGCTCCAAGCATGACTAATTTTTAAAGTCTTTGTAGAGATGGTTTCTCACCATGTTGCCCAAGCTGGTTTTGAACTCCTGAGCTAAGGTGATCTTCTCACCTCAGCCTCCCAAAGTGCTGCAATTATAGGTGTGAGCCCCTGTGCCCAGCGTATTTCTCAGCTTGGGATATTAACAATTAGTTTCCTGCTATGGAAGATGAGGATTTAGTTGCTATATACATCCTTCTCCCAATGTATACACTTTTGTCTCTTAATTTTTTAACGCTTTTTGGTTAAACTAATATGTATGTAATATTTACTAAATTTAGGTAAATATTAAATAAGATGTGGCTTACATTGTTCATTTCCTGCTCTATAGCCATTCCCTCTTCTTGCTTGCTGCCAGATTCCCTCAATTTTTTAAATGGCAGAAGGCTAAGCCCCAGGATATATACCATGACTGCTCTAAGCCAGTCATAGTTTCCCCTTTGTTTGGTCTGGTGGGCATCTGAACCAGTTCTGGCCAAATGAGATGTAGAAGAAGTCTGCAAGTGGCTTCTGAGATTTTCCCCTTCAATAGAGAAAGTCCCAGGAGGAAAGCCCTGTTTGATTTCACGTTCTCCTTTCCTGCTTGGAACACTATTGTTATGAGGATGTAGGTCCATCTCAGCCTTTTTGGATGGCTTGTGGGCAAGTTACTTAATGTTTTGTTCTCCAAGCTTTCTATTTGGATGAGTAAATGCTTAATTCTAATTCTGGAAGCAGACTTAGTTAAACAGAATTTTATGATGGAGTTCCCTGTAAAAATATAGTTAAAAACTACCCTGTAAGTTAACCATGTTATAGTGGACTTTCTCTGTGTGGTTTTATTTGAGCTTACATAATTTCTTAAGTATACAGCTTAGCCAGGCGCGGTGGCTCACGCCTGTAATCCTAGCACTTTGGGAGTCCGAGGCGGGTGGATCACGAGGTCAAGAGATCGAGACCATCCTGGTCAACATGGTGAAACCCCGCCTCTACTAAAACTACAAAAAATGAGCTGGGCATGGTGGCGCATGCCTGTAATCCCAGCTACTCAGGAGGCTGAGGCAGGAGAATTGCCTGAACCCAGGAGACGGAGGTTGCGGTGAGCCGAGATCGCGCCATAGCACTCTAGCCTGGGTAACAAGAGCGAAACTCTATCACAACAACGACAAAAAAAAAAGTATACAGCTTAATGCATAGATTATTTATAATTTAAACTAAGGCACTTGGTATTGAAAGAGGCCCTTATGCTTGAATGACCTTGTTTCTATACTAGCCATCTTGACAAGCATAACTTTGGGTTTCATTCATTGACCTTGTTGTTTTCTGCAGTTTGAGAATCACTGGTTTTGGATTCAAAGGTAGGTGGGTTTTTCCCCCCTCTCTGTGAAAGGGACTCAGTTTTACTCTCATATTTCCCTAGTAGTGTTAGTAACTAGAAAGTCCTGGATGAAGGTATTAGATTTATCCTGATATCTGGTCACTAAGGGATGAAAAATTTATAAATAGCCAATGTTAACCTAGATGCTTTCTATTCTGAAATCCAAACATGAAGACTAAGAAAAATATGTGCGTTTTTGAAACAAAACAGAAAAATGAAACTTCAACAGTGTAAAAGAGCATGAAATGCCAATAGACTACCACTTTCAACAGTTTCTCTTTGCAGTGCTTTTGCTGGTTACCATTGTTACTGTAAATAATACATGTATACTGTGATTTCTTGATGTTTTTTAACATTAGACAATACTACTAACTCACCACTATGAAAGATGAGGAATCTAAGATACTTTTATGACTTTCTGTCCCTCATTTCTCATTCTTGCTCCATTTACTAATTCCTGTAAATTGTATTATCATTTTTGGCTCTTCTAGTAGTTATCTTTTTTTTTTTTTTTTTTTTTTTTTTGAGACGGAGTTTCGCTCTTGTTACCCAGGCTGGAGTGCAATGGCGCGATCTCGGCTCACCGCAACCTCCGCCTCCTGGATTCAAGCAATTCTCCTGCCTCAGCCTCCTGAGTAGCTGGGATTACAGGCACGCGCCACCATGCCCAGCTAATTTTTTGTAGTTTTAGTAGAGACGGGGTTTCGCCTTGTTGACCAGGATGGTCTCGATCTCTTGACCTCGTGATCCACCCGCCTCGGCCTCCCAAAGTGCTGGGATTACAGGCGTGAGCCACCGCGCCTGGCCCCTTCTAGTAGTTATCTTTAAAACTCTAAATAATATCTGTCTCAACCTGACAACTTTAGCTCTTTACTATATAAAAGTACACCATTCACCTGTCCTCCTGCCTTTACTTTTGCTGGTGTATAACTTCATTGTTTTTGTAATAGCAGGGTTTGTGAGCAGGCATGGTGTCTTACACCTATAACCGCAACACTTTGTGAGGCCAAGGCAGGAGAATCGTTTGAGCCCAGGAGTTTGAGACCAGTCTGGGCAACATAGTGAGACCCCATCTCTACAAAAAATAAAATTAGTTGAACTGTAGTCCCAGCGACTTGGGAGGCTAGGGTGTGAGGATTGCCTGAGCCCAGAAGGTCAACATTACAGTAAGCCAGGATCATGCCACTGTGCTCTATTCTGGGTGATAGAGCAAGACCCTGTCTCCCCCAAAAAAAAAAAAAAAAAAGACAGAGTTTGTAACATTTACGTACTCTTCCTTAACTGTAATTCTTCTATGTTTTTACTATAATTTGCTTATAAACATTGAAAATTAGCAAACAGCATGTACAATATTGTAACTTTTTTTTTTAACAACTTGCCGATATAAAACTAAGGCGCATAATTATTTTCATAGAGAAGGAATGGAAAATTGTTTTTTATTTTTTGTAACCCTATCAATTGATCATAATCATGCCCCATTTTAATATTGTGTTATATGAGCTATAGATTTCTTGTCTAGTCTGTTTTCCTTCTTGAGTACCTTAAGGTTAACCTGTTTCTAGTTACTTATGACTGCATTGGTTGACATTAAATTGAGCTGACATAAATGTTGCAGGGAGTTTGGGTGAAATGTGAATTGCTAGGAAGTCCTTGCTTCAGAAAATGTACATCTGCATGCATAAGTGACCTTAAATATTTTAGATTTTTTTAATAGGTTGTCATTAAATTGATATAAAATTATAGTGAACATAATGTTCAATAAAGGAAATAAAGGGTTTTTTCCTGCCATTTTATCGATGGTTGAATCTTAATTTTTCTCTTTGAATAATTTTGGTTTTTTGAAAGGTCAGTGTCTTTTGAATTACATCCTGAATCATTAGTGATTAGCAAGCTGATTCCCTTTTTTTGCTTTATACCCACTACAATTAAATTTTTTTAGCTTACAGAGATCTAAAATTCAAAAAGTTAAAATACTATGCTTTCTTCTTTTTTTTTTTTTTTTTTTTTTGGGATGGAGTTTTGCTCTTGTTACCCAGGCTGGAGTGCAATGGCATGATCTCGGCTCACCGCAACCTCCGCCTCCTGGGTTCAGGCAATTCTCCTGCCTCAGCCTCCCGAGTAGCCGGGACTACAGGCACGCGCCACCATGCCCAGCTAATTTTTTGTATTTTTAGTAGAGACGGGGTTTCACCATGTTGACCAGGATGGTCTCGATCTCTTGACCTCGTGATCTACCCGCCTTGGCCTCCCAAAGTGCTGGGGTTACAGGCGTGAGCCAATACTATGCTTTCATAGTCATATTTTTCCCTGGCTATATTTGAGAACATTTACACCATTAAGATCCTAGTTCTTCAGTGTGTCTTGTTGTCTGAATTATTTACTGTGTTGGCATTCAAAATCAAACATATCTTAGGAATGCATTAAGAAACTATTAGAAATAATAGGTGAGTTTGCCAAGGTTGCAGGATACAAGAATCATATAGAAAAACCAGTTGTGGGCCCAGCACAGTAGCTCACGCCTGTTATCTTAGCACTTTGGGAGACCGAGGCAGGCAGATAACTTGAGGTCAGGAGTTCAAGACCAGGCTGGCTAACATGGTAAACTCCATCTCTGCTGAAAACACAAAAATTAGCCAGGCATGGTGGTGCACACCTGTAATCCCAGCTACTAGGGAGGCTGAGGCAGAAGAATCACTTGAACCCAGAAGGTGGAGGTTGCAGTGAGCCAAGATTGTGCCCTACACTCCAGCCTGGGCAACAGAGGGAGACTCCATCTCAAAAAAAAAAAAAAAACTGACCAAGGCTTTTATCCCAGCATTGTGAGAAGCTGAGGTGGGCAGATGTCTTGAGCCCAGGAGTTCAAGACCAGCAAGGGCCACATGGTGAAACCCCCTCTCTACAAAAAAATACAAAAATATCTAGGCGTGGTGGCTGATGCCTGTAATCCCAGCACTTTGGGAGGCCGAGGCAGGCGGGAGATCAGGAGATCAAGACCATCCTGGTCAACATGGTGAAACCCCGTCTCTACTAAAACTACAAAAAAATTAGCTGGGCATGGTGGCGCGTGCCTGTAGTCCCAGCTACTCAGGAGGCTGAGGCAGGAGAATTGCCTGAACCCAGGAGGCAGAGGTTGCGGTGAGCCGAGATCGCGCCATTGCACTCCAGCCTGGGTAACGAGCGAAACTCCGTCTCAAAAAGAAAAAATAATAATAATACAAAAATTAGCCAGGCAGGGTGGCATGTGCCTGTAGTCCCAGCTACTAGGGAGGCTGAGGCAGGAGGACTGCTTGGGCCCAGGATGCATAGGTTACAATGAGCCAAGATGGCACTTCTGCTCTCTAGCCAGGATAACAAAACAAAACCCTGTCTCTCAAAAAGAAAAGAAAAGGAAAGCAATCCCATTTACAATAGCATAAAAACAATTCAATAGATAGGAATAAAGTTAGTCACAAAGCATAAAACTATTTCTCTGGAATCTACAAAACAGTGTTGAAAGAAATTAAAGACCCATATAAATGGAAAGGCATTTGGTGGTCATGGATTGGAAGACTTAATGTTGCTAAGATAGTAGTGCTCCACAAATTGACCTTCACATTCAGTACAGCCCCTATCATAATCTCAGCTGGCTTCTTTGGCAAGCTGACAAAATTCATATGGAACTTGAAAGGACCTAAAATATCCAGAACAATCCTAAAAAAGAAAAAGTTGGAAGACATAAACTTCCTGGTTTCAAAACTTAGTACAAATCAAGACAGTGTGGTACTAGCATATGGATAGACATATAGATCAATGGAATAAAATTGAGAGTCCAGAAATAAACACTCACAATTATGGCCCATTGATCTTCAACAAGGGTGCCAAGACAATTCCATGGAAAAAGAAGAGTTTTCAATAGATGGTGCTGATTGAACTGGTTATGCACACAGAAAAACTGAAGGTGGACCAGATGGCTCAGAGACCTAAATGTCAGAGCAAAAACTATTAATATAAATCTCTTAGAAGAAGACAGGCAAATTTTTATGGCCTTGGATTAGGCAGTGGCCTTAAATATGACTCCAAAAGCACAAACAAAAGAAAAAAAAAAACCGATATATTGGACATGATGGAAATTAAAAACTTTTATGCTTCAAAGAACACCATGAAGAAAATGAAAAGATAACCCACAGAATAGGAGAAAACATTTGCAATCATATAACAGGTTTGTATCCAGAATAAAGAACTATCACAATTTAGTAATAAAGACAAGCCATTGAAAACTGGGTAAAGGTTCTGAAGAGACATTTCTTCAAAGAAGATATGTGGTGGAATGGCCTGTAAGT